GGGAAGGGGCTTGCTTTCCTCCCGTTAAAGAGATGCTGGGGGAGGGTGGAGAAATCAGGGCAAAGAGGGCGTGTGGGACTGGTGCCCGGGTGTGAAGGCAAGGGGTTGTTCGGGGTTGACAGGAAAGGGGGATCGAAGCCTAGAAGCTTTCCGGTGGGCGGTCCTCAGGCAGTGCCTGTGTTCCAGAGCACAGAGGAGAACTCCGTCCGTTCCAGCTGGCTGCAGACCAGTTGGAGAAGGCCCTGCCTAAGGCTCGGCTTGAGGTGAGGAGGGAGCCCCGGGTCAGGGAGGGCACTGCTGCTCCGGATGCTTCAGTGCCAACACTCTGCTCCAACCTGCTCACCCACAGCGTGTGGGCTCCCTTTTCAGAAGAGGCCGTGTCCAGGGGCGTGTCCCCCGAGGAGCCCTCGCAGTGGCAGTGCCCACAGCTCCTCCCTACTCTGCCCTTTGGGCACTATACTATGGAGGTTGCTTCGAGATCCTGCCTGGTTAGGTGACCAATGTTGTGTATCCTGACTGATGCTTGGATGAACTTGAAGTCGAAGTGAAGGATTTGTGTTCACTGAGTTGTACTTGGTTCTTTCAGTGGAGAAAGGTCAAAGGCCCTGGGCTCATCCACCCTCAGATCCTCTGGGAGACATCTACTCCCAGGACTCACTGAAGGAGTTCCTGGAATTTGCCAGGAGGTAGGAGTTCGCTCTTTGAGACTAGATAGATGACTTCACGGACAGGAAGTCAGAACCAGAAATAACTTGCCCTAAATATTCTTACTGCTTACTGTACTCTGCACAGTGGCGTATGACCAACTGAAATTGCAAGGCATGGAAGTGCACCCCCACCTCACTGCTTTGCCCAGGCTGTGTTGCCCTTTCCTTCTAGACTCATCCCTGTGCAGACGCCGGCATAACAACCACAGTGCAGCTGAATCCCTATTCAGCATCCCTGTTGAGATGGGTTTATGTTTGTATTTGATACCTAATAATAAATTCCATATTCTCTTAAATTCCAGGCTGGTTTATTTCTTCCTCACTCTTCATAATCACCTTTGGGAAGTATTAACATGTTTTTTGTCCTTTTTAGTTGTCACTTTTGAGGCAGGTTACTTACATATGAAGAATGCTGTCTGGAGCAGGCAAGAAAGGAAGGGATGAAACGATCCCTAAGTGACGGACATGGTCTAGGCTTGGATGCAGTGTCCCGTGGGATACTGACCTTCCATGTGATTGGCCAAATGGCAGAGTGGTAGTATAATTCCAGATGTTCCTGCTTCCAAATACATGCTCTTTCCGGTCTTGCCTTTTCAAAAAGCTTTAAAAATGAATCCAGTGCCCAGCCTGGGGTCTTCATTTTTGACTCTAGTGTTCTCAGCTGTCCAAATAGCACCACCGTGAGTGTCTCTGCCAAGCCCTTGGCTTCGGCTAGAGCCCTGACACCATGAAATGGGCGGAGCAGGGAATACCGTCATTTCACGGGGGATGAGAGACCTTCCGGCACCGACTGACGCCGTTGCTCAGTCACTGGGGTCTGGGACCACCCTCTCTCTTCTGGGTCTGGGTTGGGTGGCTATTGTTCTCAATGACAAATCTTTTTTTTAATCATAAAGCATAACACATCCTGATTCTTCAATGTTTTTTACTTTACACAAGTTTCTTTAGAAATCGACTATGGTTAATAAAAACAGAAAAGAATTCATTGGATGAATGAGGGACCTCATGGGCTCTGAAGACAAGGTAGAGATGGAAACCAGAGATGCTCTTGGAATCTCTGAATATTGGTGATTAGGGGCATAAACATTTTAAATTGTTTGTTATCCTGATGAACTGATCACTTTATTATGAAATGTCTTTAATTTTTGGTAATTCTTTTTGTTTTGAAGTCTACTGTGTCTTTTTTCCTAATATTTTATTTATTTTATTTTTAGAGAGAGGGGAAGGGAGGGAGGAAGAGAGGAAGAGAAACATCAATGTGTGGTTGCCTCTTGCACGCCCCCTACTGGGGACCTGGCCCACAACCCAGGCATGTGTCCTGACTGGGAATTGAACTGGTGACCCTGTGGTTCGTAAGCCAGCGCTCAATCCACTGAGCCACACCAGCCAGGGCCCACGTCTTTTTTATTTTTTTCCTTGTATTTGTGTGCTGGAATACATGGAATGTACCATCTTAGCCATTTTTCAGTGTACAGTTCAGGGGCATTAAATGCATTCACATCGTTGTGCGGCCGTCACCACCACCCATCCCCATGACGCTTTCCATCTTGTAACCCTGAAAATCCATCCCTATGAAATAATTCCCCATCCCCCTTCCCTCGGCCGCTGGCAACTGCCATGTTAGCTGGTCTCCATGGTTTTGACTACTCCAGGTACCTGATGTAGAACCAGATGGTGTTTGTGTTTGTTTGTGACTGGCTTATTTCACTCAGCACAATGTACTCCAAGTTCATGCGTATTGTAGCATGTCAGAATTTCCTTCCTTCTTATGGCTGAACAGTATTACGTTGTATGTGAATACAACATTTTGCTTGTCCACTCACCTGCTGAAGGGCACTGGAGTTGCTTCCGTGCTTTAACTGTTGTGAGTAACGCACTGTGAATGTGGTGGGCAGACGTGCCCGAGGCCCTGCCGTCAGTTATTTTGGGAATATGCCCAGAAGTGAGGTGGCTGGGTAATACACGGTAGTTCTGTTTGTAAATTTTTGGAGGAACTTCCATACTGTTTTCCACAGCGGCTGCACCATTTACACTCCCACCAGCAGTGCACCAGGATTCCAACTTCTCTACATTCTTGCCAACACTTGTTTTCCGGGCTTCTTTTTGTGATAGTAGCTGTCTTCTCATGATTGTTATTTGTGTAAAATATTTTTTGCCAATTTTACTTTTAACCGTTTGACCTTTTTTTAACATGTGTTTCGCAAACACCATGTACTTGCACCTTGGTGTTTCATCCAGTCTGATCTTCTCACTGGTCCTTTGTCGTCCAGTTTAAGGTATTATTAACATGACTGAATCTAAGGCAACCATCCTCTCTAGTTGTGTCCCGTGCTCTTGACTCATTTTTCCTTCCTGCCTGCCTTCTTTCAGATCAGTCAAGCACTATTTAGTACCCATTTTATTGCCCCTTTTTTTTGGCTTTTTTGATTAAAAAAAATCTGTTTGCTCTCTCTCCTTCTCCCCGTGCATATAATTTCTAATGCCCTCAGTGAGAACTCCACAGTCCTCATCAGGGTTCGTTTACAAAGACTCATGACCTGACCCCTGCCTTTCTCCCAAACCTGGGGAGTTCCAGAGGTATTGGGTTTGTACTGTTCGTTCATGTTCTACACTGACCCTCACCTTTAATGCCCCATCAAAATGTTCCTTCTGCTCCAGCACCCCACCGCCCAGCTAGCTAACTGGGAACTCATCCTTCAGAACTCAAGCCTCACTTTGTAAGAGCTTAGGGGGAATGCCTATGTGTGTAGTCTGTGAGGGTAGGGTTAAATCTCCCTGCTGTATGCTGCCACCCTTTCTTTTTTGTTTTTAAAGACTTTATTGATTTATTTCAGAGAGAGGGAAAGGGAGGGAGAGAAACATTAATGTGTGGTTGCCTGTCATGTGTCCCCTACTGGGGACCTGGCCTGCAACCCAGGCCTGTGCCCTGACTGGGAATCGAACCTATGACCTTTTGGTTTGTGTGATGATGTTCAACCCATTGAGCTACGCCAGTCAGGGCAACAACCCCTTTTTTTAAAACATTTTTTAAATTTTATTTATTCATTTTTAGAGAGAGAAGGGAGGGAGAGAGAGAGAAAAAGAGAGAGAGGCATCAATGTACGGTTGCTGGGGATCGTGGCCTGCAACCCAGGCATGTGCCCTGACTGGGAATCAAACCTGTGATGCTTGGTTCGCAGCCCTCACTCAATCCACTGAGCTACGCCAGCCAGGAACAACCCTTTCTTAAGAGTTATCACATTTGTGTGTCTGCCTTCCCCATCAACTCTGCAGGTCGGCTCCATGATTTGCTCGTAACTGTGTCCCGTAACTTTGCAGGGATCTGGCACAGAGCAGGCATTCAGCAAGACTACTTCTCTGCATTAGATAGAATGCCATGGCTTGGATAGCGAGAACTGGTTTATTTTACAAAGAAAACACGGAGGACTGGAAAAGTCGTGTGAGCTGTGGGAGGTCACAATGTTAGGTGCTGGCAAGGCAGAGGGGAAGACAAAGGGAGTGGTCAGAAGACAGCCAGCCCTCCCAGCCATACTCGTCTGGGGGAACCTGCTGCTGTCCTTTCGTGGGGAAAGGAGACTTCTACTCAAGGCTCTGGGCATGCCAGGGCCCTGGGTAGTTTCCAACTCCCACCAAAGCCCCAGAATACGTAGGGTCCACGGTAGACTTCAACAAATGCTACAGAGAATGAAAGGGGTTGAAATGACACATTCCTGTGTAAAACTCTCCTAGGGGAAGCGTGTTTTAAGGACGCCCTCACCTTAAATCCGGAAAGGCTTTTCCGTGGGCCACAAGGCATATCGTCGCCAGGTGGCTCCTGTGGGCTCAACACTGAGGTACTAAACCAGGAGGAAGAGGGCGGTGCCCCCAAAAGCCAGCGGGGTGGGGGACCAGGGGCAGGAGGAGGCGAGCCTGCACTCAGGCTACAGAGCGTGGAGATGGCAGCAGGTGGCCCCCTTCCTTGCCAAGGTCTCGGCTCTGGGTCCCGGCTCTGTTCCCGGTCTCCGCCCTCTCCTCCGGCCTGGGCGGTCAGCGGGATCCAAGAGGGTCCGGGAAGCCACCTTCTCAGATCCCGGGGTACCTCGTACACCCAGAGGGCTGGGCCGCGAGGGACAAACTGCGTCCTCACCGGCTGGTGAAGCCCTGGCGGCGTGTACATTTTCCGTGGAACTCCAGTCCGGTGCCCAGGGGCGGGTCCTCTGCGCGTAGAGCGTGGAGGGCGTGTCAGGGCGAAGGAAAACCCCACACAGACCCCGCCTGCTGAGTACCAGCGTGGCTTCTCCAGCCAGCCAGGTCCTTGTGATCCCTGCTGTGCACACAGATAGCCCCTCCCCTTGTGACGGGCTCCACAACTCTGCCAAAAAGCTTGTCCTTCTGTCCTGAAGCTCTGTGCGCGGACCACACTCCCCGCTCCTGGAACCCGTAGCAGTCCCTCGGAGGGTCCGCCGCCCTGCAGAGGCCCTCGCGCTTTTCTGTCCGCCCAGCTGCGGGGTCGGAGGCCCGGTCGTGCGCGGCGGTTGAGCTGGGCTGTGGACTCGCCTAGTCCGCCCTTGGCTCCCCGCTGCAGTGCAGCTCCCCGGGCTCGGGTGTCACGCGTCCCTGGCTTGCTAGCCCAGCCCTTCTGCAGGACCCTGCTCGAGAGGGACCAGGTGAGTGATGGGGAGCCCAGCCAATGGGGGAGGACCTCAGAGAAGACTTCGTGGAGCACAATTTAGCGGGGACCCCTTATCATTTGCTGTGTCCTCCATTATTTGGTGTGTGGAGCTTGTCCATTAGGACTGGGAAAATCAACGGAAGAGTTACATTACAGTGAACTTTGGCCATCAGCCAGAATTTAAGCGCTTTTGTCTACATTGACTCATGTATTTATATCCTCGTGGCTACTATATGAAGTATTGGGCTGGCCAAAAAGTCCATTTAGTTTTTTCAGTAAAATAAGACACATTTTAAAATGTTCACTGATAACTTTATTGATTTGGATATTTTCAGGATGTTGGCTGTCTCCCGCTCTTGACTTCTGGTGGGTAGAGGCCAGGGGAGCTGCTAAACATCTTCCGGTGCATAAAACAGCTGCATAGCAAAGAACTATTTGACCAAAATGTCAGTAGTACCAAGAAACTTTGCAAACCACTTTTAACACATTCGATCAGTCGCAGCACCTTCTCCATGCACCGCACACATCTTTTTTTTTTTGGCCTTTCAGTTGCATTTTTACCTTTCTTGAAATAATAAAGCATAATGTACCAAAAATGTTGTTATCTTCTTCCATCTTCAATATTAACATGGCTACACAAAAATTCACCAATTTTTTAAAAGATTTTATTTATTTATTCTTTTTAGAGAGGGAAGGGAGGGAGATAGAGAGAGAGAGAGAGAAACATCAATGTGCGGTTGCTGGGGGTCATGGTCTGCAACCCAGGCATGTGCCCTGACTGGGAATCAAACCTGCGACACTTTGGTTCGCAGCCCGCGCTCAATCCACTGAGCTACGCCAGCCAGGGCAAAAATTCACCAATTTTGATAAGATTTTTTTTTAAATGCACACTGATAATGACAGTTGTCACAATACAATCTAACAAATTTTTTTCAAATGAAGTTAAAGACGACTAAATAAACTACTAGAGCCATTGTAGGGAAAAAAACTGAACGAACTTTTTGGCCAACCAAATAGGTACAGTTACACCCACTGCACAGACTAGAAAACTACCTTAGACCATGGAGGAGCTCCCTTCTGCCCACAGGGTGAGGCCACCTGATCCAGGCCCCACATGTGGCACCCCCCGAGAGGGAAGAGGTGGCCCTGGAGCTCTGCTAGGCGCCTGTACTTGCTGAGAGCCCCACTAGCATCCCCTTCAGCCCCCACCCAAGGTCTGCTTCAGACCACTGACACTCCCACCCCACCGTTTACCCCTATTTACACAAGCCCCAGCCCGCCTCACTGTTTTCCTTGTTGCTGGCCCTGCACCTGGGTTGGGCTGTGGCCTCGCACCCCCTGCACCCCTAGACTCCAGGCTCTTTCTGCTTTAAGTCAGAACAGTGTAACCTGGGTTTTTTGAAACTGAGGTCAGCAAAGATGGAAAAAGACCAATAGTGACGCCTTAGGCTGCAGCATGAAACCCCCCAAAGTAAAATGAACTAAAGCAGCTATGTAGTAAAGTTGTATAAAAGCAAGAGTGGACCCTGGCACTGAACACACCCTTAACGGAGTTGACTTACAGAAACTGCACTCGTGGGCCAGGGGTTGGGGACTCAGGGTGCGGTCAGGGTGTAAATGTGAAGGAGAGGCAGGCGGAGAAAGCGGGGGCCCCGTGACTCCCAGTGCATTTCTGAGGCTTGGTCCTACAGAAAGCCCTTGGCAGGCATTGAGTCCTTCTCTTGTCCTTCTGCAGATGTCCACCCTCCCTGAGAAGGAATCCAGGGCGCCCACCTCCTGTCCGGGCCCAGCCTCCACACACGGCCTGGACAGTGACCGCGGGGATGGTCCGGAAAGAGGATGCTCCAGGAAACCAGACCCGAAGCCCCGGGAGCTCTATGGAGTGGGTGACCCCACCGCCACGTTCTCCTCTGGTAGCTCCCTCCTGTCCTCAAGAGGAAGAGTCGTGAAATGGTTCTGGGACTCTGCTGAGGAGGGCTACAGGACCTACCACATGGATGAGTATGATGAAGATAAGAACCCAGATGTGAGTGAAACCTTCCTTCCCACTGGACCCTAGGGAAGGACTGTGGGGGTGGTGGGGGGACACTCCAGCTTGAATGACAGGGCAGCAGCCAGCTTGCTCTTGTCATGTAGGACTGAAGATGCTCTGACCTTCAAAAGTCCCCTGATGTAGCATAGGGAGGCCCCAGTTTACTACCTGGGTGAGAGCACAGTCCAGTTATAATGAAAGGGCCTTGATGTGTGAGGGAGGAATTTAAGGACCATGGATGCTCTGGTGTGGATTCTGACCCCTAGACCTTTGACTCTCCGCTTCAGAGCTGGGACTGAGCTAAGGTTTGGTCACAACTATTTTTACTGATGGGCTGTGTATTCTTGAGCTGACTATTTAACCTCTTTGAACTTCAGCTCATCTGACATGAAAGAATGACCCCTGTGCTATGTAACGTTCCCAGTGAGATGAGAGCAGCTCTGTGAGGTTGTTAGCACAGCGCCCCCGCATGGAGCACTCGGTGATTGGTAGCTGCCATTATTATTAATGTTATCTGTCCTGGTTTTTATAAGTCATTATCAGTAATTCCTTCAGAGGGCACAGAGCTGTCACAAATAACCCTTTAATAATCTTTATTTGTTGAACATCTACCAGGTGCTGTGCACTATTCTAGATGCCAGGTTATAGCAGTGAACAACAATTAAGTTTCTGCCCTCGTGGAATTTATTATAATGGAGGCAGTAAATATATATATGTGTGTATAGATATATGTATGTGTGTATACACACACATATGTAGTGGTGTATATGTATATACAGTGATAAATGCTGTAGAGAAAAATAAAGCTGGGTAAAGAGAATAAAGAAGAATGAGGTGGGCTGGGAATGTTGCTATTTTAAGTGAGATGGCCCCGAAAGACCACTTTAATAAGGTGACATTTGAGCAGAGACCTGAAAAAAGTAAGGGTTTGTGTTAGTTGTCTGTTGCTGTCTAACAAATGTCTTCAAATCTCAGCGGCTGGAAACAGACACTTCACAGTTCCTGAGGTTCGGGAACCGGGTGATTGCCTCGGGCTGCAGGTCTCCTGTGAAGCTGGAGTGGAGCTGGGACTTTAGTCCCATCTCGGCGGGGGCTGAGGGGGGAGGATCCGCATTCAAACTCACTTACAAGGTTGTTGGCAGGACTGAGTCCCTCCCCCGATGAGCTTCTGTGGGGAGCTGCCACATGACACGCCCCAGACGGAAAACCAGGCTCTGTAACCGAGTCGTGGCAGTGACATCCGTCCCTTCTGCACTTTCGGTTCATTAGAAGCGAGTCTCTAGGTCCAGCTCACACTCACAGAGAGGGGAATACACAGAGGTGTGGCTGCCAGGAGGTGCGGATCCCTGGGGGCCATCGCGAAGGCTGCCTGTCCCGGGAGCGGACATCCCAGGGAACAGTCAGCGCAGAGCCCCGGGGTGGAACCGTGCTGGCTGAGTTCCAGAGAAAGCCAAGGGGGTCGCTGGCTGGAGACTGGCGTGAGGTCAGAAAGGTACTAGGGGCAGGGTAGTAACAGATCCTGTAGGACCTCATAGGACACGGTGAGGATTCTAATTTCAGACAAAGTGGGATGGAAAGTGTTCGAGGGAAGAGCAATTGCTCTGACTTCAGTTTTTACAAAGATGACTTGGACTTGGACTTGGACTGCTGTGTGGGGTTAGACCAGGGGGCCAGGAGGGGCAAAAACACAAGCGGGAAAGCTATTGCAATAATATAGACAAGAAAGAGGTGACTTCTATTTATCATAATCATAGCTCTTTCAAGCTCTACTTTCTTATCTTCCCTTTTTCCGTATTCCCACCCCTCACCCCAGTAACTCAGAGGTCAGGAGTTACAGTGCGTAAGTCTCTCTGGGCACTCTGCAAGGGACAGCCTGGGCTGTGCCTTCCCCCTCCCTCTCCTATGAGAATGGTGTCCAACGGGGTGGGGATCAAGGTGTGGTGTGAAGTTCCTTGGGTCTCCTTGGGGCCCTTTCTACCGGCACTGGGACCGTTTTTTTTTTTTTTTTACTTTTTATTTATTGACTTGAGAGAGAGAGACAGACAGACAGACAGACAGACATTGATTTGTTGTTCCACTTATTTATGCGTTCACTAGTCAATTCTTGTATTTGCCCTCACCAGGGATCGAACCCACAACCTTGGTGTACGGGGACAACACTCTGATGAACTGAGCTACCTGGCTACCAAGAACGCTTCTTGATCTACACTCTTGTTTCTCTTCCTACTTTGCGTGTTCTTCCATCCTGTCCATGTGTAGAGTCCTGCTGAGCCCCTCGGGTGATATGGTGGTGTTCAGGCATGCGTCGAGCCTCCAGGGGCCTTGCCATCTGTGAGGGAGACAAAGCATGTCCCGCAGTCCCTGTGACGACCTGGGGCAGAAACTGACCAGTGCTCTAAAGGGGGCAGATAAAGAGCTTGAGGGCTCAGAGCTTGAGGGTTCCCACCACCACATCCAGGTGGCGTTTGGGTAAGGCTTTCTGGGGGAGATGGCATTGGAACAGAGCTTTAGAAATGGGCAGATGGGGTCCGGGTGCTGAGTGGAGAGCACGGCCTGAACCGAGTGGAGGAAGGGCGGTGGGAAGGGCAGGATGGTGGGGAGCTCCCGCTCTGCTGCTTCCCCGACCTTCCGTGGGCCACCCTCCGCCACGCTCACTGTGCCTCTGCTCCTCCCCTCTGCAGGGCGTCATTAACTTGGGCACCAGCGAGAACAAGCTCTGCTTCGACCTTCTGTCCAGGCGGGTAAGTCCTAGGGCACCTCGGGGTGGCGTCGCCAGCTCCGAGGGCCTGTTTCCTCCTGGACTCCCTGGAATGCTTCTCCCACGAGAGCCTGCTGCTTGCCTCAGTGGCCTCAGCCTGGCAGTCAGGAGTCCGGGTTCTACATCTGCCTCAGGGTCAACTTTCTATGTGGTTTTGGGCAACTTACTTCCCGTACTCTAATCTTGCTTCTTTTAAAAAAAATGTATTTATTTTTAGAGAGAGGGGAAGGGAGGGAGAAAAGGAGAGAGAGAAACATCAGCGTGCGAGAGAAGCATCTATCAGTTGTCTCTCGTTCCTGCTCCGACTGGGGCTGCAAACCTGCAACTCAGGCACGTGCCCTGACTGCAAATCGAACTGGTGACCTTTTGCTTTGTGGGACGATGCTCCACCCACTGCGCCACACCCGTCAGCGCAGGATCCTGCTTCTTCATTTCTTCAGGCTCCTCCCCTCACTCAGACCCTCCTCTCAGCTGGGTCCCTGTTCTCAGGGGAAACCCTCGGTGGTGGCTGTGTGGTCAGTGAGGAACAACGGGCTCTGGGGCTGGGGGTGCTGAGTTGTCACTTCTGCCAATTCCCTTAGTGTAAACACCCCCACCCCTGCCAGTTTCCAGCTGCCGACCTGACGTTATTGCACGTAGAACTGGGGAAAGAAGTGTGGCGGCACACACACACACACACACACACACACACACACATGCAGGGAGGGGCATAAGTAGGCTTGCCGTTGAGAGCACACAGTTCATTCTTACATTATTACTTACTATTCATTGTATTATTCTTCGCACGAACAACGGTAAACCTGCTTTTGCTCCGCCCTGTGTCGTGTTTTCCTTTCTAGAAACAGAAATAACCTCAAGAGCACAGTTAGTAGTAAAATGCAGTACCAATCGGGAGCCATGTTGTTCGAGTATTTACTACCTTTGTTTTTTTAATACAATGCACTTATATAATTTATATGTAATTTGTATAATTTAAATTTTGAAATGGCTGTTTTTGAACACAGCTTGCAAAATTCCCAGAAGTTTAATGATCAGATTCCTTGAGCTGGTGCCAGCCATCTCCAGCAAACTGGAGGAAATGCCTGATAAACGCGTCTCCCGAGGCCGAGGAGGCCGAGTTTGGGATTGCAGTGGGAGCGATGCTTAATTCAAAGGGACGTGTGTCCAAAGGGGACAAATTCAAGCCCCAGGGGGAGAGGGGTCTGGTGTAGGGAGTGGGCTTGAAAGGCGTGTTCTTCCTAAAGCCAGCTCCTCCCCACCCAAGGCGCTCAGCACCCTCCAGTAGAAATCAAACGTGAATCACATGTATACTTTTAAAGAGTCCATTCAGTAAAAAGAAATTCGTGAGATTCATTTCAATAATATACTTTATTTATCTGAATATATTTAAAATGTGACCCTATCAGCATGTCTTTGATGTAAAAGTTGTCCATGAGGTGTTTTACACAGCCTTTTTTAGATCAAGTCTTTAACATCCAGTATTCCCTAGTTCAGACTACCCATACAAGAACCTCCACATTGGGGAGTGCAGCTTGGAGGGGTGAAGGAGAAAAGGAAGGGCTAGAGTTATATCCGGTGGCTGATTTCCTATCTTCTGTGGTCCCACTGCCCAAGGACCCTGCCTTTCCTTGCCACTGTGTGGGGGATGCTCTGGGAGTCACTACGCCGGCACCTGGTTAGGGTGAGCGTGGGCTAGAAATGGCCACATTTTCCAAAGTGTGAGCTCGAACTGAGCCTGCAGGGAGGCTGTGGCCTGAGTCCCTCCGGAAGTTGGAGCCAAGACCAAGGCGAAGGCTCCCAGTGCCGGGACCTCTTCTTTCAACCCCGGGAGGAGCTGGGTAGCACGGTCTCCCAGCACGGCTGCTGCAGAGCCACCCTGTAGGGAACTGCTTTGTGAGATGTGGAAATGCAGCTCAGCGCCCATGTGCAAAACCAGTGGGGGGTGAGCTGGCACACAGGACCACGCCTGTGAAGAAGTTCTCCCATGGGAAATCAGGCCTGCGTTATACCTAGGCTGCTTTGTGACTTGCTCTTGCTAAAACTCCCTCACCCTGAGTGCAGGCAGCAAATGCTTGCTGCATCTGTTTAAAGTAACTTCCTGAAGTCTGCTAATTCTCCCAAGGACTGAAGTGTAACCAGACCTGTTACTCTTATAGTTCCCTTACATTTGCAACATTTTTCCCTTGTTAATCTGTAAGAAGTAATCAGTAACATCCCTTCCATTACTATCTGTAAAAAGTAATTACCTAAAGCAAATCTACATATAATGAATGAGAACCTTCTTTGATGTATGCTATTAGAAAGCCAATGAAAGCCTGTCCAGACAAGGGTCAGTGCACTCTCCTCTTGAGAGAGGGGTTGTGCCGTCCCTTTTCCTCCACAGGACTCGGTAGTCCGTGTGAATTTATCTCGTCTCACCCATAACACCTCGGACACTGTGAGCCGGTGTCCGAGTCACCACCCCTCTGGTCTTTTCAGGTGGCAGTGTTGAATGAAGAACACTCGACTAGAAGTCAAAAATTCTAGGTTTTTTCTCAGCTCTGCCACTCGCTAGCTTTGTGAGCTTGACCGAGTCATCTCACTTCTTTTTAGCCTCAGTTTTCTCACCAGCAAAAAGAGCATGAAAGAGCTGTCCGCACGCTGCCCTCTCCCAGTGTCTTTGATGGGCAGACCAGGCCCCTGGCCGGAGAGGCCCAGGTGCTGCTGTGTGGATGCAGGTGGCATGCCGACCGGCCCTCAGCCTGCTCTTCCTTCTCTGTCCCCAGCTATGTCAGAGCGACATGCTGCAAGTGGAGCCGTCTTTGCTGCAGTACCCTGACTGGAGGGGACATCTGTTGTAAGTAGTTGTCGTAGGCCAGCGGTCCTCCACCGCAGGGTGGTTTGGCTCTCTGTGGGACACATGGCCATGCAGACATTTGTGGTTGTCATCACTGGGGAGCGGGTGCTGCTGGCATGTAGTGGGCGGAGGTGAGGGGTGTTGCTACACCTCCCACAAGGCCCAGGATAGCCCCTGCAACAAAAAGTTATCTGGCCCCAGATGTCCACAGTGGCAGGCCACCGAGAAAGCCCGCCTTAGGCTAAGGGCCTACCTGGTCCCGGAGACCTGGCAGGTGACCGTGGGCTCTCCCGGAGCGCGTGCAGGGCCTGACGCCTCCTGCCAGCCGCCCGCCGCCCCCCCCCCCCCCGCCCCCGCCTCAGGAGCTCCCTGGCTCGGTTTCCCCGGCTCTGTGGCATGGGGAGGGCCTCGTACGAGGACTCTTTGACCCCATGTTCTCAGTAGTGTTAGAGGAGCCAGAATCCGTTTCAGGGGAGCTGGCCTGGCCTTTGTCCTGCTGGTGAGACGGGAGATGGTAAGTAACACTTGGGAGAGTTTGGACTGGCTGAGCACTTATGAGGGACCAGGTGCTGTCCTAGGGCGTAGTGACCAAGCACAACTAGAGTCTAAGAGTGATCCCAAAGCGCATGTTCTCATGGTAATGGGGAGGGCGGGCACTTACGGCAGACCACTGGGCTTGGGTGCGGACTCTGCCACTGATTCACAAGTGACCTTATTCCTTCGGGTCTCAGTTTCTTTGTCTGTAAAATGGGAATAATGATAATAGTTGCATCATAGTGTTGTTATGAAGATTAATGAGTAAAATTCTCCAACTAAGAGCTGTATAAAGTAAATGCTTAATAAATATTAGCAGTAATAACTATGATAATAGTCACTGTTATAATAATAATGCCTATGATTATTATTAGCTAGATTGACCTACGGAGTGTGGCCTATGGTAAGCCTGCCGCCTGCTGGTCCTGGGGGTGGCTGTCCTAGAACTGCAGAGGATGACAGTTTCGATGCCCATGGGGAGTGTTGGGGGTCGGTGGGGAGAGGGGGTTGCCTAGGAGTGGAGACAAATGCGGATCACACTTCCCTGTGGGAAACGTGGGAGGGTCATGGCAGCTGCCTACGGATCCACCGGAGGAGCTTTGGGGTGGACTGTGGGTGGAAGACCCTCCAACAAGCACTGCTTGTCCATCTGTCTTGTCTGCAGCCTCCGGGAGGAAGTGGCTAGGTTCCTGTCTTTCTACTGCAAGAGCCCCGCACCCCTTAAACCAGAGAGTGTGAGTAGCCCCTCCCCTCCGCTCCTTCCTGCTTTCCTGCTCCCTGCCCCCTCTTGGCTGGCCAGGGGTGAGGTGGGAGGGGGGGTTGCCTTTCCCTTTGTTTTGCTTTGCTCCCAAGTGGAATTAGGACACCCCCTTCCTTTACCCCTCCCGCAGAGTTTCTATATGATTTCTGCCCCACTTGGTCCTGGGGCCCCTTTTTGTCCTGTACCTTTGGGCAAGACTCTGAGTGAGCAGCTCCCTCTTCCTTGCTCAGTTGACCTAGAGCAGGATGCCCACAGTTAAGCCACACAAATGAACTTGGCAATTAGTCGGGAAGGGCCTTTGGGTACCTCCTGTGGCTTTGCTGGGACAGAGCCCGAAGGGCACACTGCGTTGCACCCTGGCTGTCCCTCTGCGCCCGGGACAGAGGCTGCAGGTTCTCGATCCCTCCTTAAACAGACTTATCTTTGTCCCGTGGCTGTGTCACTCTCAGGTGGTGGTCCTGAACGGCTGTGCCCCTCTCTTCTCTGCTCTGGCCATGGTGCTGTGTGAGGCTGGGGGTAAGTGGACAATGGCCCACTCAGCACTGGGAGCTGCCCCATGCCTGTAGCGTCCCCAGCTGCCCTCCCTCAAAGGCTGCATCAGGATGCTTTCAGCTGTAATAGACTGCTATACTGCCAGGGGCTTAAATAAGTGGCTTCACAAGACCCCAGGGGTCGGCAGTTCTGGGGGAAGTCAACGTGATGCCGGGGCTCTGCGCTGTGTCCCTTTGTTGACCTTGGCTTTTCCTCATGCTCACGGATGGCTGTCACGTCCTCACATGGCAGAGTGCCTGCTACGAGAGCCACAGTCATACTGAGAACACGCTGACTGTGGTCATGGTCGGGGTTGTTGGTCGCCAGGAACAGAGGCCCACTCGTGCTAGCACAACGAGTGATGACAACAGTAGGAACATTTATTGACCACATACGACATTCCCGGCGCTGGCTAAAGGCTCCACACACAGTCTGCCATGGAACCCCCACAACGACCCCTGTGAGGCAGATTCTGTGGTTAGCCATTCAGCAGATGAGATGAAGACACAGAGGGTTAAGTAACTTCCTAAAATCACACAGAGAGAGATAGTAACCAGAATCTGAGCTGGAACAGGGAGATTCGCTACCAGGATACAATAGGCAATTAGATAATTTTTCTGCCCATTCTAGAACATTGAGAATGAAATCAGCGGCATACTCTCAATGGGATATGCAACACAGTTCCCAACCCTGCCCCCGCCCCCGACACCCCCTTGCTTTTTACGCAGGCCTTTCTCTGGACTTTCCTTGGGTCTTGCACCGCCCAGGGGTGCTGGCCCAGCTCCCAGTCCACATGGCCCTCCATTCAAGTGCACCTTCCCACTCACAGTGTCTGTGCTCTTAGATCAAAGTCTTGAGAGAGAGAGAGAGAGCATGATGGGTTGCTGGCCAGTGAGTGGGTTAGTTCCCTGGGATCATTTGTCTACGTCTGGTCCAATTCCTATGGCCGGGGAGGGGAACCCGTAGACAAAGGCTGGCCCTTGTAGCTCTGCGTTGGACTAGAACTTACGGTCACCTCATGAAGCCCCCATCCATCCACAGCTGGAGTCCCTGCGTGACATCCTCTCCCCACAAAATGGTCTCAGCCTTTTGTTTGAATGCCCCCAAAAGTGGAGAATCCACTCCTCCTGAAGCAGCGTTTTATGCCTATGGGCAGTTCTGCATGGGGACAAGATGTCCCATTGGCTGAATCCAGATCCTTACCCCGCAGCTTCAACTCAGGGGCCCACATCTCCTTAGAGTGGCCCCACATGTCGAGTGCCTCCATGGGATCCTCTGAGCTTCAGTTTGCTCCTTGGTAAAGTTAGGATGACAATAGTACTTATTTCACAGAGTGATTATGAGGATCTAATGAGATGAAATGCACATAAATGTTTGGCACAGTTCCCAGTGCATAGTCAGTGGTCAATAAATGTTAGCTGCTGATTATTAGACAAGGGGCTAATCTCAGTGGATCCAAGCTCTAGAAAGTGTTTTGGGAGTTGGGGCAGGGAGCGTGCCGCAAGTGTTCCCCAGAATCACTGAAGGCTTGGAGAGGCGTGGGGCCGGTGGACACGGGGTCCCTGAGCTCCAGCCAGAGGGTGACAGGCCCTGGCCCCTCCTGCCCTCAGAGGCTTTCCTGATCCCCGCCCCTTACTACGGAGGCATCACGAAGCACGTCTGTGTCTATGGCAATGTCCGACTGGTCTGTGTCTATCTGGACAGTGAGGTGAGAGTTCCTGCAGGCCAAGGCTTTCCTGCACCCAGATTTGAGGTTGGACATGGGTGGAAGTCCCATTGAGGGCTCACAGGTTATGGCTGAAAGGGCAGTGGAGGCTTCTGTTGCCTGTGGCCAGTGCCTGGGTTCCCTGGGGCCCACATTCTCCCAGCTCTGGGATCCCTGGGGTGGCCAAGGGCAGCCCCAGCGGACCACACCAAAATGTGGGGTGAGGATGGGGCAGAGCAGACTTCAACATGGAAGTCCTTGGCCCCAATCAGAGGACCCCTGGGGCCTCTCCCTGAAACCTGATAGTGATGAGGGTGTTTCTGATGTGGTGGGGTAGGGATGGGGGGCAGGGAAGGGGTGTGAGCCCACCTGTATTTTTCCAGAGACTGTTCTAAGGAGGCTGGAGATGTTGGGTAGGAGAGGCCTGGGAACTTAGAGGCTTAGAGTTGGGGGGCGGTCACTGAATTTGCCTGTGGATCTTCTTCCAGGTCTCTGGGCTGGACACTCGCCCCTTCCAGCTCTCAGTGGAGAAGCTGGAGATGGCCCTGCAAGGAGCTAATTCTGAGGTCTGGGGATCGAATCAAATCTGAGGCTGGGAGTGGGGGTTCTGAGCAGGACACGGACCCCTCTTCCTGTGCCTGGTCTACTGCCTGGTGGGGTTGGCACTCCGTGACGAGGGCAGGGCGTAGGCATGGACCCACTGGGGGTCAAGCAGGAGTCCGCCCCTGCAGGGTCTTCCCACCAAACCAAGACTCTGAGACCGAGGTGTACAAATAACCAACCAGGGAGCTTGATTACAAACACTGCCCCCGACTTCGCCTGGTTCTGACTCAGCAGGCCAGGCGTGGAGCTTACAAGTCTGCAGTTCAGCAACTTCTCTGGCCATCTGAGGAGGCGGTCCCGTCACTGTTGGGGGGGATCCGAGGCCTTCTGAAGAAAGGCAGAGAGAGCAGTAATCCTCCAGGGGTTCCTTTCCACCCACTTTTCAAAAATCTGCCAACCTAATTTTTATTTTACCATGATAATGAAAGCTGTACGTGTCCACTGTGGGAATTTGAAAAGTGCAGCCCACCCCACGTCATTCTACCAGCACAGCAGGCGGCCCCTGCCGGTGTTGGGGCGCATTTCCCTCTCGGCTTCGGTCTCTGCACTTGCTCTCTTCCGTAGCTGGCGTGATGCTGCCCAATTCTCCGCCCTTGTCCACTTCGTGCTGGGTGGGGAGCACGGCCCCATCACAGTCCCCGGAAGCCTGCCCCACGACCAGCCCCACCCCGTGGGACCCTGTGGCTCTGGCCTTCGGGAGGAGCTGAGGGTCGGCTGCCCCACTGGTGGTTTCAGGGTGTGCAGGTCAAAGGCCTCATCCTCATCAACCCCCAGAACCCTCTGGGTGATATCTACTCCCCAGAAGAGCTGCGAGAGTACCTGGAATTTGCCAAGAGGTGAGGCACCCCACCCTCACCCCATCCTTGGGTGGACGGGGGTTCTGGCGAAGGCTTTAGGGTAGGTCTTTCTACCCTCTTTTCTCCACCGAGGCTTCCACCTGCTTTGGCGCCTCCTGGCAGTGGGGCGGGCAGGTAGTGGTTTGAGGGATGCTAGTTCTTTCTCTCCCGCTCTGTAACAACAGCTATTGTGCACTGCACAGTCTGGGGCCCAGGCACCCTGCTAAGCACTTCACATGCTCTCTCACGTAATTCTTCCAGCAACCCTCTTAGGTACAGATACTGTTATTACTCTAAGTTTACTGAGCCTCAGAGTGACGGGTCGAGCCACACTGGGTCTGGGTCTGTTCGTATTTAACTTAACTGTCTTGCACTGACTGTGTCCTTCCTCCGTGTGTGTGTGTGTGTGTGTGTGTGTGTGTGTGTGAAGAGGGGGGTGCCTGAGGGCCCTGCCTCCCCCCCACAGGGCTTCGAAAGCCCCATTGTCATCTGCTCTGTGCGTGTGGCTTCCTGTGTGTTTGGAATTTGGTCACCCTGGGCTAGACCCAGTCCCTCTGGATTTCTGACTTACTGCCACCCCACCCTGGGAGAGGCATGTGGCCTGTGAACCAAGCTGTCTTCCCTGCCACTGGCCCCAGGCATGAGCTGCACGTGGTGGTGGACGAGGTCTACATGCTGTCCGTGTTCGAAGAGTCGGCCGGTTACCACAGTGTCCTGAGTCTGGAAAGGTGAGGCTGCCACGTCAGAGCAGACTCCCCCTCTGCCCGCCCCCTGCTCTGGCCCCTGCCCCAGTCTCCATGGCTCAGCCACAGCGCATGGCCGGCCCCAAGGTGTTTTCTCCACCATCCAGCTGATCCCTTTGTCCTCAGAGCCCCTAATGAGAACAGAGGGGACCAGGACTGGAGGAACAGGCTGGATCAGTGGTTTTCAGATTGTTTTGTGGGGTTTCTGAGGGCCCCCTCCAGGGAAGGGCCTTAGGATTCCTTGAGGGAGGGCTAGGTAGGTGGGAAACTGGCCTTTGTTGTTTCCTTCATCCCCTGAGTAGCTCCATTTTCATTCATTCATTCACTCATTCATTCACTCACTCACTCATTCATTCATTCAGCAAATATTCTGGGCTTCCTTGCACGTGCCATGCACTTCTGGCGCTTTGGGCATTGTCATTAGATTTTGTATGAGCCTAGTGTTTGTGGCCAAAACAACTGTGGAAGCACCTGGACCGGACCATCTGTAAAGTCTGTAAACCTGACATTCAGACAGCCTAACAGTTCCCGACGTCTGTCCAGACCTTGTAGTCCTGCTAAGTCCTTTCTCTCTGCTCATTCTCCCAGAGCTCGGCCAAGGTCGTGGGGCCCGGGCTGTGCCTCCCCCTCATTTATGGGTTAGAAAAGTGAGACAGAGAGAAACCATGACTCGTCTTCTAATCTGTGGCGGACACGGCGCGAGGTGCTGGCGATACAACAGTGAACAAGAAAGACGTGGGCCCTGTCTATGGAGAACTTTTATTTCCAGCCAGAAAAAAAAAATTTAGCAGCTAAATACACAGCTAATCCTTTGATTAAGTGCTAACAGGAGAAGCCTGGGAAGCCACGAGAGGATCAGAGTGGGGTGCCCCCTTGGCTTGGTTCAGGGGTCTGTTTGAGGAAGTGGCACTAGCACTGTGCCTGAGGTAGGGGGTGGCAGACACTTCAGCTTTGCAGGCCATGTGGTCTCTCGTTCTGCTCTGCCATCGTGGCACCAACGCAGCACAGACAGTGCGTACATGAAAGAGTGTGGCTGTGTTCCAGTCAAACTGTGTAGTAAAACAGGCAGGAGGCAGACGTGGCCTGCAGGCTGGAGTTTGCTGACCGCCTGCTCTAAAGGATGCATGGGAGTTGGTGATTTGGGAGATGAACCCAGGGTTTGACCCAGAATCCCATTCATCCATCCACCTCCTTCTGTGTTCAACTGAACGTGTGGGTATGCTTCCCACGGCTGTGTGCTGCCCCCCTCCCCGCGCTGTGCTTGCTCTCTGCAGGCTGCCTGACCCCCAGAGGACCCATGTGATGTGGGCGGCCAGCAAGGTGGGTTCCTGGCTAGCCTTGGGGGTGTGAGGGAGGCGAGAAGGCAGGGAGGTGGGCAGAACCGGCTTTCTCTGGGGAGGGCTGGCCACCGCCTAGGGAAAATGTACCTTTCTGTGCCCTCCTCCTGCAGGACTTCGGGATGTCTGGGCTCCGCTTCGGCACGCTCTACACAGAAAACCAGGATGTGGCCATTGCGGTGGCTTCCCTCTGCCCCTACCACGGCCTCAGTGGCTTGGTCCAGCACCAGATGGCACGGCTGCTCCAGGACCACGGTGACTGTCTGGGCCTGGCCACCTGAGGATGAGGGGAGGGCTGTGGTCAGTCTGGGACCAGCCGGGGATCATGGATGCTCTGTGCACGGGAAGAATTTGGCGTGGTGTTTGAGAGTGCCAGCTGTGGGTCCATACCCTGTTCGACCACTTCCTGGCTGTGCGGCACATTCCTTTACCTCCTTGAGCCTCAGTTTCCTCATCTGTAAAGCAGGGATTGTCATGGTCACTGTCTTATCGGGTTAGTCAGTGTGATTTTCCATTCAATCAGAAAAGTGCCTGGCATGTAATAGGCACTTGGTCAGTGTGAGCTCACTATTATTAGATATGAGCCCTTAGGAACAGAAGCTGCTAATGGAAAAATGTCGTAATGACAGTTTCTCTCCATGCGGATCTGTTCTGCTCCCCCGTTGGGATAGTGAGTCTAGGTGGCAAAAGGACCTGTGATCGCCCCATTTTTTCACCCCTGCTGGACGTTCTCCACACACCCCCTCCTTTGTCTCTCCCCAGAATCCTAGGACGTGTGTATTCCTGCATTTTCCTCATGGAAAAATGAGGACCAGATCCTGCATCTCTGCTGTAATAGCTAATCTTTTAAAAATAGTGGCAGCATCAAATGTCAGCGAGGATGCAGACAGCTGGGGTGTTCCTATGGTGCAGCTCCTGGGGGAAGCAGTGGGCCGTTGCTCATAAAGTTAAATACCAAACGGCCCAGCGAGCCTGCTCCTAGGTATTTCCCATATGGTCACACAGAGAAGCTCCATGTGACGGGTGGTAGCTGCGTTCTTCATCGTCCCCAGACTGGAAACAACCCAGGTGCCCCCACAGATGGACGGAGAGACACACGGTGGTCCATCCGTGTGGGGCCAGGGGTGGGGGTAGCACCCCTCTGCAATAAAAGCCACGGTGGCTCATGTTGATCTCAAAGGCAGCGGGCTGAGTGGAAGAAGCCAGCACTGAAAGATGACATTACTGTGTGATGCCACTTTTATGACACCCTGAAAAAGTGACAGGGAGGAACAGGCTAGTGCATGTGGGGAAGGGGATAATGGGACCACCCACAGACACACGAGGGCGTGCTTTGGGGTGAGGGAACTGTTCCGTCTCCTGCCTGTGGCGGTGGTCACTGGAGTCTATATGTGTGTTAAAGTTTATGGAATTGGACACACCCACAAAAAGATTTTTAAAAATTGAGGATCATGTAGGTAAACTTGCCAAAGGCCCACGCCTTGTCAGGGGCTGTGCTGGATCTGAACTGCAGCTGGCGTGACCGGGAGATGTCACTTTGTGAGTGGGCCAGCCTTTGATTAGGGTCTGCACCCTGAGGGACTCTGTGTCTGCGGAACCTGGTGCAGTCAGGGCTGATTGTTGGAATTTAAGGGACTTTAACCCCCATTCTGAATATTCTCATCTCCCCTAATCAACCAGCTGGGGGACGGGCTCACCCAGTCTGGGCAGCTGGTGGCCTTCCTCTCTTCAGCATTTTGGACCCACAGGACAGAGTGGAGGCTTGATGGGAGATTTACTTCTGGCTTCTCTCTCACCCAAACAGACTGGATCAACCAGGTGTACCTGCCGCAGAACCATGCCCAGCTCAAGGCTGCTCACACCTACGTCGCTGGGGAGCTCCGGGCCCTGGGGATCCCCTTCCTGAACCGGGGGGCAGGCTTCTTCATCTGGGCCGACTTCAGGAAGGTAGCTGGGGGTGGGGAATTGAAGCTTCCCTACAGCAGGTGAGGGGCAGGGACGCGTTCTCTGCATCCTGAGCTCCTCCCATCCTCCCAGTACCTGCCCGAGGCCACCTTTGAGGAGGAGATGCTGCTCTGGCATCGCTTCTTGGACAACAAGGTGCTGCTGTCCTTTGGCAAGGCCTTCGAGTGCAAAGAGCCGGGGTGGTTCCGCCTGATCTTCTCCGACAAAGCCCACCGGCTTCGCCTGGGTAGGCAGTCTGCCCTCCCAGCCCTTCCTAACCACATCCTCCCTCTGCCGTCCTCCTTCTCCTCACCCCACCCATGGCTCCAGCAACCCCACCCGCTCACATCAGTGCTGACTGGCCCTCATTTCCCCTTCCTAGGGATGCAGAGGGTTCGGCAGGTGCTTAAGGGCACCTCCCAGGTGGCAGAAGACCCCCCTTCCTGTCAGACCCAGGAGCCCTGGGGCCAGCACAAGTGAGCTGGCTGCTGCCTTGCGGCTGCTACTGCCAACCCGGGGCATTCAAGGATGCAAAGAGTGACCATGGCTGAGCCGTTTGCCAAGAGGATAGCCTGGCCCTTGAAGAAGAACCGTTCCCTCCCTTTCTGTGGCAGTGGGGGACTCCTTAAGTTGTGTTCACCCTGGTCCGTCCCCTGCCCCTCTATTAAACAAAACTGGTAGAAACTGGAAGCCTCTGTTGTGAGTCATTTGTAGAGCGGAGCAGTCGTGACAGCCCCTCACCCCCTGCGGATGTGGAAAGACAACAAACTGCCCAGCGGGGACCTTCTCTTTAGCAGCGCTTTCATTCTGCCCCTTCGTTGCCAGGGAAACAACTCAAAGAAACACCACCCAGAAGAGAGAGTATGCCCCAAAATGAAAAAGAGGGATAATTTCCAAACTATAAGGAGGAAGGACAGAGTTCTACATGTTCAAGTTGTTTTCCGTACACTTAGGTTGTGTGGACCTGGGACCTGAGACCTGGGACCGCCTCTGTGGGGGAGTCAGGACGGGTGCCTCTGACTCTGGGATGCCCTTCCTCCTCCTCCGTCCTGGGAAGGAGCCACTTTCACGGATGATCCAGAACCAGCGTGATCTACTCATGACTGGGGGTGGACGGAGGTAGGGGGCTGGACCCTGAACCCAGGCTGCTGTTGAGACTAGCTGTCTTTCCACCCTAAGAATGCAAAAGGGTCGCCCACCCCCTCCCCAGGGTGCGTTAGTTCAGAGCCCACGTGAGCCTGCTGGTCTGAGCTTGAAGCCATGGGCTGAGGACGCTCTGGTTTAGAAAAGCTGTCTCTTTCCTCGTTCCTCTTTTAAAGGAATGTTGATGAAATCAGCATTTCCTTTCTGTAAACCATGCTACTTGGTTTAAGATTTGTTTGCTTCTTTCTGCCTTTCATTCATTCATTCCTCCTCCCTGTCTCTTCTTGAATTCCTTCAATATACCAGACACTGTATGGGGTTAATTACAGGTGTTATTTCTAACTCTGACGTATTAAGTCCCTGGGAAGCTTCCATCAGTGTCCTCCATTGTAGAGGTGAGGCAACTGAGTCTTGAAGAGAGGGAATGGTGTTCCCAAAGTCACGTAGCTAAAAACTATCATAGATGGGATTCAAACTCAGTTTGGTTTGGCTCAAAATCCTGTGCGCCTTGCACTCTGATGGTGCCACTTTTTCTCTCAAGCTACACCCTTTCTGACACACGTGTCCTGACCCACTGGGTTCGGAGGTCTCAGTGTGACCTTGGCTTTGTCCTCTACCTTTTAGGCAAATAACGCAATAGCCTCTCCTCTTTTAACCACCAGGATACTCGACCACCTTCTCAGAGGCTCTGGCTCATGTTTTCTTTCCTTCTGTGCAGTCACTCTCAGCTTCTTTAGCATCGTGTAGCTTCTAATACCATAGCTTCTGTACTTTCTCACCTCCAGTTACTTGCATGGATTCTACCCCTGGAAACGTAGCCATACTATTTACCCACACTGGATCACAAAACTCCTTTCTGATTGCTTCTCCTTTATAACACCCGTGCCCAGAACTTTTTCCGCTGCCTGGATTGCCCTGTTGACCTTTCTTCTTGTCAAAACCCTAAGTCTCCTCCAGGACCAGCAAAGATATCAGGTCTTGCACGAAGTCTTCCTACATCTTTCCAATTGGGTGTGGTTGCTTTCTCTTCTGAACCCTGTAGCCTTTAAAAAAAATTCTCCTATGCCACTTTCATCTTCTGCTTTTGCTCATCTAATTTGTGCATTTGTCTTCTTTATATTGAGCTCCTCCGGCATCTGGGCCCCCCTTTTTTTACTCAGAAAATATTCACAGAGCACTTCCTATATGCCAGGTGCTATGCATGCCTAGGGTTATCAAGTAAGTAAGATAGGCGGGCTCCTCAAAGACTGTGTTCAACACAGGTCTTTAACACAGGAAGTCCTTATTTAATGAAAGAATGATGAATTAAAAACATATATGTATATATTTAATACAGAGATAGACAAAGAAGAAAATAAAATGCTCTCCACTTATCCAGTTCTCAAATAGGGTGTGTGTGTGTGTGTCAAATTTCCCATTATTTTGGGGGGTGTGGATTTGGAATGCAGAGAAATGCTTTCTTGGGTGTGCAGAAGCAGAAAGTGGGTCTCCCATCTCCAGAATACTCTCGTCCCAGTCTCCCGGGATCTGTGATAAGCCGCAGGAGTATTTCTGAAATAGCATGAGTGGTTCTGAAATGGCTGTTGTGGCTGGAAGCCCCAGTGAATCTCCAGTGGAAGTGGCAACTTCCACCAGATGGCGCTGAGGTATAGCTGGGGACTCAGTCGCCAGTACCAGTGAAGAGGCTCAGTGAGTGGGGTCGTTTCATTATCTTCTGGGTAACATCGCTTTGAATTTTGATAGAATTTTTTAGAATCCACTTACTATCTTAGGGCAGGGATTTTACTGTGTATGTAGAAGGCTAAATCACATAAATAATGCAAAAACAAAACGAAAATGAAAGTCTTCCCCATTTCTTCCTCTATAATTGCTCTACCCCAAACTGTTAGTTGCTTCTTGGATTCCTTCCAGAAAAAATATTATACATATGCCTTAATATAATCATCTACATATATATTTTATCTCTTGTTTTTTGTATTTGTATGTATGTGTATATGTATATATATGTGTGTGTGTATATATATTATATATATATTTCTTGATTTTTTTTAACATAAAAGGGATCATACTTGCCTACTGTTTTGGACCATGCTTTCGTATGAACATAACTAGAAGATAATTCCATGCCAACACATATATGCATTTTTGAATTATTCCATCCTAATCATTTATTTTGATTGTATCGTTTTTTGCTATTATTAGAAATAGTACTGCAATGAATATTTTTGATAAACACTGTTGAGAATACCCATAGGGTAAACTTAATACAGGGATAGTTGGGGGGAAGGGTACCGCATTTTATATTTGATGGATACTGCCAATTGCCTTCCAGGGATGTCGCACACTCACCAGTACTGATTATAATGAAATGCTACATTTTTTTCTGTTTTAAAAGTTTTGTAAGTGAAGCATGCTGCCTCGTTGTTTCGGTTTGAAGTTCTTCAAAATTATAAACGAGGCTGCCTGGCTTTGATTTTCAGTGTGGAACTTGAGCTTGACGCCTGCCTAGGAGAAAAGCGGTGCCCTGACTCCTCCTGTCCAGCAGGGGGCGCGGGCCCAGGCCGCTCCCGCATGCGCAGTGCGCTAGGTGTCAGACGGCGAGCCGGGTAGCCGGCCCAGCGCTTCTCTCTCGCTCAGCCCTGGCTCCTTCGGTGGCGGCCGCCCGCTGGCCGCGATCCCCATCGGGCTGCCGTGGCCCACACCCTGCGGCATGTGCCGGTGACGGAGCGCGGGGCCGCGCGGGAGGCAGCCGTGGCCGAGGTAAGCGCGGCGCGGAAGGGCTGGCGGGTGCCGAGCTGCGGGTGCCGAGCTGCGGGCTCCGGCCTCCCCGGGCCGCCGCGGAGTCTGGCCCCGGCCGCCGGGAAAGCGCGGCCGGTGCGGAGGCCGGAGGGCTGCGAGAGGCCCCCCTACCTTCTCTGGGCCTCTCACGAAGAGTTACCGCTTTTGGAGCTCTTTGATTTCCACACCGACTTCTTCTTCACCTGGCTCTCCCCGCACTTGGTTCCCACCCGTCTGCCCGGTCCACTGCTATTCCCCGTCCGCTCCTTTCATTTCTCCTGGGCCCTGCATCTTCCTTTTCTCGCGGGGCCCACGCTCCGCCGTGACCTCTTCTACCTCCTTCCGGCGAGCTGTTTCCTCCCACGGAAATTTCTGGTGCTCTGAGCTCTGCGGTGGTCTGGGGCATTCAGGTCAGTGGCTGGATGCCGTGGGCCGGACTTGGTGTACTGCGCCCCGCCCATTTCGGAAACTGGACGAGGTGGGGAAGGTGACCGAGGGTGTCTCGACTAGGCGTGGACTTGAAGCCTAGGGGCATTTGGAGTTTTCTTGCTGGCGGTGGGAACCAGATCTGTACATGCGTTTCGAGCCTCAAATAATTGCTTGAGTCGATTTTAATTCTAAATTAGCCCCGTGCTCTAAGGACTTAAACTGGACTTGGTTTGTAAATTTCAGAGCTCAAAAGCTATTCACGGAAATAAAATATATGATTCGTTTCCTATCATTTCTCGCTCCCACAGATTTAAGCCTTCTCGTTTTGTATGCTGGTATGAATGGATAGATTTTCTTCTGTCAAGTTATGCTGGCTTCGCTAATTGAGGAGAGAGAAAAATTGATCTAATCCAGGCTTTTAAAGGTAATCAGGGGAGGCAGCTTCACACGTGAAGAAGCCAGGCTCCAGAGCCAGGCTGCCATCCTCCCCATCAGAGCACTGGCATTTTCCAGTTGTGTGCCTTTGGCCACATCCACTAGCCTTGCTGTTGCGCTCTCCGTGTGAGTGAAATGAGGATAATAATAGCTTGTCACAGGCCACTGTTAGGAAAATTACATGAGTTAACTCAAAGTACTTAAAACAGCTCATGGCATGTAGTAAATCCTCAGTAAAGTTTAGTTATTGGTTACTTAATTATATGCATTGGATTGGTTATTATATAATCCCACTAACAAAGGGGCAGGGGTTTTTTTTTAGTTGGAAGCCATTTCAGGGCTGGTTAGTCCCAATATAACTTATAAAGCACTCTATCATGTAAGGCAATGAATTGCAGGTTTTCCTGCTTTTGCGGATCTTCCTTTGTTTTCATTCACAGTTGGGTTAAGTTCCAGTAGCACTGGCCCTGGGAGTCCAGCTGTGAGTGCTTTTTTGCACAGGTTAACGGAAGAGATTGTGACTCGAAACGTTGGACCAAGTGGCCTCGAGATAGTCTGAAATACTGAAGAAAGGTTATTCAGGCTTGTTTTGGGAATAAATAATTCCAGGAACAGAAAATGCATCTCATCTGGATACTACGCTTTTTCCAGTGACTCAGTGCTTGCCAGCCAGCCAGACAGTTCCAGTGTTTCTCAGGGACAGGTCTGGTGTGGTTCAAAGAGGGTAAAGTTTGAAGCGCTCTGTTGTGAAATTCTCATTCTGATCCAGGTGGTGGTATCTCTCGGAACAAACATTCATTAGTAGGAGATCCCTCCTGGTCTTCCCTCTTCAGCGGAACTCAGTGGTAGGGGAGGGGAGGGTGTTGAGGGGTGGACACTGAAAATTCAGCCTTT